TCACATTGGGAAGGGGGAAGCCATTCTACAATTGTAGACAATATTAGATATGGGGGGAGGGGTGGGTTTAAATAAAGTGGTGAAAATGTCTCAGTGGTGCAGAGGACTGTCCTTGGACCCACAGCCCGGGGTATATTTATATAAACATTCACTGCAGGTGAATCTTCCTGGTGCAGGTGTTGATTCACTCCCAGTTCCATTCAATGCTTTTATGCCCCCCTAGGATCACACAGAGTCCCTGTGCAGTGCAGGCTGTTCATGATGTGTCAGCAGCTCTCACATGACGCTCCTCTCTCTGACAGTCTGGCCCGCGGCGACCACAAACAGGTCACATTGTAGAGAGTCTGAGACGCCGGAGCTGTGTGAAAGTGACACGACAAGTCTACATGAAGACATTCCCGACGTGTCACACTACACGCCAACAGTATCATTGTTCAGAAGGATCCCGCCTTTTATCATTCCCAAGCTGTCCTTCAGCTCCAGTGACTTTGTCTAGACTGAGATCATGTCAGCAGTCTGCTGCAGGCAGGAGGAAGCATTTTCCCAGCCCCCCCTTCCCCAGTGATCAGACTGCTGCAGGCAGGAGGAAGCATTTTCCCAGCCCCCCCTTCCCCAGAGATCAGACTGCTGCAGGCACAAGGAAGCATTTTCCCAGCCCCCCCTTTCCCAGTGATCAGCCTGCTGCAGGCAGGAGGAAGCATTTTCCCAACCCCCCCTTTCCCAGTGATCAGACTGCTGCAGGCAGGAGGAAGCATTTTTCCAGCCCCCCCTTTCCCAGTGATCAGACTGCTGCAGGCAGGAGGAAGCATTTTCCCAGACCCCCCTTCCCTAGGGATCAAGCTTCTGCAACCTCATAGTTCGAGCCCACGTGTGACAATGAAACTGTCACACGTCGGCTCCATAGATCGGGAAGTGAGCGAACACATACCGTCGCTCGCTCACTTCTCGATCATGTCCCTGCAGAGAGCCGTGACTGTCAGTCACGGATCCCCACAGTGATTCCCCCCTCCCTGCTCTGATCCTCCAGCGCTGACTGGCGGAACGGACGTGGGAGGGGGCGGGTACAGCTGGCTCTGCCTCTAGATAAGCGGAGCCAGCTGTCACTCACGCAGCTGGGTGGATCTGGACAGTAATGGGATCCATCCCGGCTGCGGCGTCTCAGTATACCGCGAGCTGTAGCTCCCTATATACCGAGCTTTGTGTGATGGGAGGACGTTAGTTTGTGTCCTCCCGTTACCCTAAAGAGAACTATGGGGAAAAACACTGACTCCATAGTTCTCCTTTAAGGGTCGATAGGTTTTGGGTGGGTGGCATCAGTTGAAGATCTGCACATTCTTATTGAGTTCCTTCGGATGAAGTATCTACCATCAGTCTGCATTAGAGGATCGGAATACGCCCCGGGTCTGGCGTCACGCTGTTTTCTGTCGGTTCGCCGCTGCGGTCTGGGAGCGTTTTGCACACACGTGTTTGGATGTGGTTATTGTGGGTGAATATCCCCGGATGTGTTTATCCTGGCTTTTCCTACGGAACCCGGGGGTGGGATGCCGTATGGATTTCCCCATGTTTACTCTTTGCGGTCACAGGAATATCACACGCCAAATAAAACACGCGACAACAAGCTGCGGAGAGCGGCGGCCAAATCGCCTCGTCACATGACCCCTCAAGGAACAGTTTAGCCTCTGGGCAGCGATTGGCAGGGATGTCGTATTGACAATAAAAGCGTTCGAGATTGTATGACACGGAAGGATCGCCTGCCAGGCCGGCTCAGCTGTCCCCCAGCAACTGGCCAGAGGGCACAAGTGCCGGCCCTTCACAATGACTCACAGGCCCAACTGGGGGCGAAAACAGCAACCTGCGGCCTGGCAGTGTACGGGGCGCTCAGCATGCCGCCCTTTACTGACGGCCGTCGAACCATGCTGGGACTTTTACTGACCTATTTAAAGGGCGACTCCACCTCGAACTGACCACCACCAGCGTCCCCGTTCCACCTAAATCCCATTACAAGGTCAAAGGTCGGCCCTACGCTCCCCCAGTTGGTCCTCCGTGATGCAGTTTCTCTTATTATGACATTTGTAACTCTTCCTGTAAATAATAAAGTCATTCCTAAGGAAAGTCTGACACTTCCTGCTTCCTGTGTGCTGAGCCCCGGCACAGGAAGGTGATCCCGGGAACAATTGGAATATTATATTTAGGGAACGATGAGGCCACCCTGAGCGGGGAGAGTGGGCCGAGGGTAGAGCGCCATAGATATAATATCAAAGTGACGCCCACGCACTCCTTTCCTCTTCTATTGTCAATCCTTTTCCAAATGCCACCATCTTTCAAGTGGGCTGGCACCGTGCGGGAAGATTTCTCATGGCCGCGTCCAACAAATGGCGTCATTGTTCATCAGATTTACGTTGTGCCAACTGAAAATGTCACTTAAAGGATCTCAGTCCTCCATCCTTCAGTCTTCTAGCTGACCTCCGTCCTTCCCTTCAGTCTTCTATCTGACCTCCATCCTTCCATTCAGTCTTCTAGCTGACCCCCGTCCTTCCCTTCAGTCTTCTAGCTGACCTCCGTCCTCCCCTTCAGTCTTGTATCTGACCTCCTTCCTTGCCTTCAGTCTTCTAGCTGACCTCCATCCTTCCTTGGACTCTTTCAGCTGAACTCTGTCCTTCCCTTCAGTCTTCTATCTGACCACCGTCCTTCCCTTCAGTCTTCTATCTGACCTCCGCCCTTCCCTTCAGTCTTCTATCTGAGCTCCGTCCTTCCCTTCAGTCTTCTATCTGACCTCCGTCCTTCCCTTCAGTCTTCTATCTGACCTCCGTCCTTCCCTTCAGTCTCCTATCTGACCTCCGTCCTTCCCTTCAGTCTTCTATCCGGCCTCCGTCCTTCCTTTCAGTCTTCTAGCTGACCTCCGTCCTCCCCTTCAGTCTTCTAGATGACCTCCATCCTTCCTTTCAGTCTTCTAGCTGACCTCCTTCCTTCCCTTCAGTCTTCTATCTGACCTCCGTCCTTCCCTTCAGTCTTCTATCTGACCTCCGTCCTCCCCTTCAGTCTTCTATCTGACCTCCGTCCTTCCCTTCTCCTCTCCTGGGCTGAAATGGCTTCCTCTGATTTCACTGCACACTGGGAGCTCCTCATAATGACCTCAATGCCGCCATTGGTATAAAATCGCCCTTCTGACGTGTCCCATATTTATAACAGGCGGATAATGTCTTATACATTGTGACAAGTCAGGAATCTATTAAACCCGCCGTGACGTCATCGCGCATGCACAACCATCTAATTGACGCCTGCCGGCGGCCATCTTGGTAGTGGATGCCGGCAGAGAGAGAGGGGACGTTCACCCGGCAGGATGAGGTATGCCCCCGGGTCCCCTCCTCTCTCCTGAAAGACAACATTCCATATTTTGGTGCCTACTATAGCATGTCTGCAGTCTCTGACCTTGTGCAGGGTGACTGGTCTTGTCTCCGCCCCTTCCTGTAATAAAGACCACTCGCTGCTGCTCTCTGTCCATGTGCAGGTGACTGGTCTTGTCTCCGCCCCTTCCTGTAATAAAGACCACTCGCTGCTGCTCTCTGTCCATGTGCAGGTGACTGGTCTTGTCTCCGCCCCTTCCTGTAATAAAGACCACTCGCTGCTGCTCTCTGTCCATGTGCAGGTGACTGGTCTTGTCTCCGCCCCTTCCTGTAATAAAGACCACTCGCTGCTGCTCTCTGTCCATGTGCAGGTGACTGGTCTTGTCTCCGCCCCTTCCTGTAATAAAGACCACTCGCTGCTGCTCTCTGTCCATGTGCAGGTGACTGGTCTTGTCTCCGCCCCCTCCTGTAATAAAGACCGGTCGCTGCTGCTCTCTCTCCTTGTGCAAGGTGACTGGTCTTGTCTCCGGCCCCCTCTGCAGGCGGCCTAAAGTGATCTGGGATTGAAAAAATGCCTTCTTGGCACAGAGCGAAATTCTACCCTTTGCGGCCATTGGGGAATATACTGAAATGAAAGTATGTGCGCCCAGGAGTTCAGCCTTGAAATCTTGGCAGCTATGTTGCCGCGTTCCGCCGGCATCCCTCTATAAATGGGGCCCTCTGTGTCCCGTAAGGGCCGAGCGGCGATAAGGTCGAGGGCTCTGTGGCCAGCGATGAAGGCCTCATTGTGCGCCGTCTGGGCCGAGAAGCTTTCCTCGCACCCGCCACAGCCGCCGCGCAGAGAATGAAGCAGATTAGCGCTTCCTTTGTATCCCACGCAGAGCGCGGCTAAAAGTGAACGGCGGGGTCACCCCGGGGCCACTTGTGGTTGAAGGAGGTTTTAATTTAGTGCCGTTCAGTGACATGCCAAGTGTCTGGCCGGTGAATCGTGCGCCCTCTCCATGTCCCATCACAAGGGGGGGGGAGGGGGGTGACGGAGCAATTAAGAGACGCAACAATATATGACATTTTTTTTGTCTTGATACCTTTTACTTCGGCACTAAATCATGTGGACAGTGCGAGTCTGTGCGCCGGTGACACGGCAACAATGGAGGAGATGAATCCTTTTATGGGTTATCGCTGGACACAAAGACGCTTGTTTGGATCGCGTTTTCTCAAGTTTTGTGGAATTAAAATACCAAACTTTTTATTGCAGTTTTCAATAGTACATCTATTATGGGGAGATTACCCTCTCACTTCCTGTCCCGGTGACACCAGGGCAAGAAATGAGAGGGTGCGGGTGTCACCGAAACAGGAAGACAGAGTGTGATAAAAACTGGAGAGGTCTTCTAACCCCTCTCCGCTCTTCTAATTAAAGTGTAGATAACCCCTCTCTTCATATTAAGGTGTATCTAACCCCTCTCTATTCTTCTAATTAAGGTGTATCTAACCCCTCTCCTCTCTTCTAATTAAGGTGTATCTAACCCCTCTCCTCTCTTCTAATTAAAGGGTATCTAACCCCTCTCCTCTCTTCTAATTAAAGTGTATATAACCCCTCTCTTCATATTACGGTGTATCTAACCCCTCTCTATTCTTCTAATTAAGGTGTATCTAACCCCTCTCCTCTCTTCTAATTAAAGTGTATCTAACCCATCTCCTCTCTTCTAATTAAGGTGTATCTAACCCCTCTCCTCTCTTCTAATTAAAGTGTATATAACCCCTCTCTTCAAATTACGGTGCATCTAACCCCTCTCTATTCTTCTAATTAAGGTGTATCTAACCCCACTCTTTTAATTAAGGTGTATCTTAAGGTGGCCATACACTTTACAACGATCTGCCTATCTTGGACAGGCAGATCGTACTTGCGATCATCGCAAGCCGCGCCCCCCCTGAGGGGCGGGCTTCCGATGACT